TATACCCCCCCCCCCCCTGTCACCTTTTATGTTATGCTGGGTATTTGGATAGTGGCGAAAATTTTTGAAATATAGTATTACAACGTGTTTACTAGGAACTGTTATATTACATTATGCTAAGTAGTGCAAGTGATATCACTGGAAACATTAGAATCTATGACAACAGCACATCTCAGAAACCTTCCTTGCGTTGAATTGGGTAGTATCAGAATAGTGTTAGCAGGCGTTGCACAAGTAGCATTTGCGCATGGGCACCTTATGTGTTTTCTATTAAAAGTTTCCCGCACAAATGCTGCTGCGTGCTCGCTCACCATAAAGGCGCTTTGCGGGCCGCACGCTATATCGGATTTTTCGCGAGCAGACTGCCGGCACGATCGGTGAATTGCGTTACGAGGCAACCGCTGTGGCAGCGAGCGCACCGCAGAGGCTTGTTGTACGGTTTTTTAAAACTGCCTACTGACGTACAGATAAGGGCGGCCGCCGCTGAGAGAAAATTGAACCACTTCCTCCAGAAGCCAATTGAGCAACTTTTTTCGAAATACTTTCGGGAAGCTGTGCAGATATTCACGCAGATGGGTAGAGGACCGGCAATGGGGACTTAACCGTTCGAAGTTATTGTACCGGCACTCTTGCCAAATTATTGCAGCAAATCAAGCTTATTATTCCTTTCGGTGTAGGGAGTTACGAGGCGCACTGTGCTCACATACTGTGCATTCCTCAGGCTTGAAAATTGATATGTCCATAGCTCCGATAGCGCGTTCTCAGTGTACGGAGATTTTTCGTTGTTTATTTTTTTATTAGAAAAAAGTGATAAATACAAAGTGGCATGGCGTAGGCTATAGTGGTGCCTGACCGACACGAGGAAATCAATAACGGACACTGCGATGGTGAGAGCCAAAAGAACAGCCCACTGAACTTGACTTCTTTCGGCAAAACATCTGCTAACGGTAAAATGACAGCTGCCGGTGCAATATTCAGCCCTATTATTCACAAGCGTATCATTACAATCCAAGCACAGCACAGCTGTTACACTCAGGCTAGCAAAAAGGGTGTGTTTATCTGCACGGAACCCGTCAACTCAACCTCAACATGTCAACTGAGAACGCAACTGCAACAACGACCTGTGGTTTTGTTGACCACTGACCCAGAACGTAGTAGAGAAACCTTAGTCTACTATAAGACAATGCGCTATAACACAACACGCGACACCAGCGGCCAAGTCACAGCCACTAATCATCTCCAAAACAATTTAACGGTCAAGGGCGCGCGCCACCGTCACATAGTATTCGCGAATATGCCACAGTTGCGCGCATAACAATGTGATATTGTCAACATGTAATCATCTACGCGACTTCAAAGCAGTGAAAAAATTGAAGTCATAAGCACTTTGTCGACAGTTCAACAGGCCGAGAGCTTACCGCTAGGACCTACGTGATACTTACCTTATAGAACTTACCTGATAGGGCAATTCTCAAAACGACTTCTTAGGTCAGCTTGGCAGGAAATCTCCACCACAATGGTGGCTCGAATAACAAAGTTAACGGCACTTTGCGCCACCTTCTTGTGGAATAATACCCAATTTCACGCAATCACAGCTTGGTCGATCAAAATATCCAATCGACTACACATCTTCTTGTCGCCAATCATCGCTGCGCACGGTCGATTAAAACGAGTCTATGACCATTGCGATCCGTCGGAACGAGTGTCAATGTTGTCTAGCGAGTGCGGCGCACACCATATGACCACGGAAGCATTTTTTCAGAGAGACGTGATCGTAGTAGCTAAATAGTGAGCGAGCCGGCCCGCCGGGGAGAGTTCATGGCGCATTCTGTAGAAGCCGCGGCGGCACTAATGTCACGTGTGAGCCCGCGCTATGACGAGTTTCTCGTTGCAGATATAATAAAACTATGCTTAGCGGTTGCAGTGTAAAGTCGTTGTGTTCCCGACTTACTTGCATGCGCTGCAGTATTGTGTGTACTACAGATATAGATAAAGACAGTTCACAGAAATGGTGAGGCTGTTCTAGTTAGCACTGGCATACAAAACATCACTAAGCACTTTATGAAATTACATATACGCGCTCTTTCACTTACGAAATGAAGTTATGCAATAGGCAGTGAAAAGCACTTATACGCTAATTTTTTGACCAATTACCTGGGGCGTTTTTTTCGTTTGAGGTCAATAAAACAGAGAAACACTTCCTTACCGAATATAAAAACATATTGCACTAGTGTTCCTCAATCCAGAAAACATGCGTTTTTATTTGCTGTGGTACGCATGTCCGAGAGCCCTTAAATGTTTGATGGCAAGACATATGAATATCTAGAATATAATATGAATCGAAATAGTTCTAAGATACGGACAAACTTATGCCAACGTGCACAACCCGTCATTACAGCAATACTGGTTTCATTGATATATCGGCACCAACAACGTCTTCGTGCTTTCATGAGCGAAAACACTTGCTTATAACAATAACGAGGCGTATCTTTCTCAAAATTAAAAAGAAAGCAAAAATGCTTTCCTTTTCAAGGTTTTTTTGATTGCTTAGAAATCCAACACCTTTAAATTCTTACCTATATTACCTAATTATTCCAACCCTCTCTTTCAAGAAGTGAATTAATTTAAAAAGCAAGACGCCGTCTTATTCATGGCCTATCCCACTATGTGGGTTGCGTCAAGGTGTTGAGGAACCAACCAACCCACATACCATTGCAAGAGACTTCATGGGAGAGGTCTCCAGAAATGTCAGTTTTGCCATTTGAAGCGATAGTGAAAAAAAGTACAAGATATAGGCAACAACACTAAAATTCTGCCAAGCAAGTGCATATGTTCCGACTAACAAAGTTCCTATATATTTTACGTATTTTGTTTGTAATTTCATGGGTTGTATTTTTGGTTTTATTCTCCAAGGCGCACGCAGGGTCCAAGTGTTCATACCCTGCTCCTCTCTTTTCAATCCTCTCCTTTCACCTTACTCTTGCTGTATACTAAAGCGCTAGTGCCTTTTCTCCCAGCCAGGAGCACTGCTCGCTGCCCACGCTGTTTGTACCGAAGGCATTGGACGCCAAATGTCGTCGTCATTTATTTGGCTATCTCAAACGTATTCGAAAAAAATTCTGATATACTGCCGTGAAAACAATGAATTGCTAGATTACTGTGCAGAGAAAAGGTTTATGGTGAAGTGGGTGCGTTCCGAAAATCTTGAAATGACGTATGAGTGCAGTATGTGAAAACATTTATCATATAAAAGTACAGCTCCTTCTTAGAATACCTAATTTCATTTATATAAAAAGTAAAGATGATTGTAGGGGTGTTTGAATCTGATTAATATCGGCCCGACCTTTATTTCATATATGCCTCCCCGAATTTAGCGGAAAAGGGTTCTGTTTGCATTTTTTTCACAACAATATTGCCCTTTCTATGAATATGTCAGCAATGTACCCTTACTAATAAAAGGTATATTTAACAGAAAATGACCTTTTGAACACTTAGGTTGATAACCTTACGAGAAAAAAATACTAGTGTTTTACGAAATTGCTCATATTTTCCACATTAAGACGCCATTTGCACCATAAGCAATCCAATTACAAATCAACTTTAAATTCAAATAAAAAGCAAACTAAGCAGTTTTCCTATAGTACTGGTTTTGTAGATACAGTGCTTACTTTGAGAAATACAATAATTTATGTTTCCCGTTGACTTGCCACTTGCCATTTAGGTATATGGCAGCTTCCGCCTTGTTCCCTGTGGCCCGGATTTCTTTAAGACCGCGAGAAAGTGTGCTCTCTGCTTGAGTATAAAGTATTTTCATGTCTCGCACGTGGGTGATGTTATCGCATGCGCCCTTCGTGAGACTGGGATGGGTCAGCTGGTTTCACATTTACTTAAGCCATGTTCGAAGTCTCTGCTCGCGTGAATTTACGCGCGCATGAAACATATGATGTGCTGGGGGCTGTTGTCAATTTGAACTTTATACAGTAGATGACGGTGCTGCTGATGCTTTACAGAAACACGTGAAGAGTATACACATCGCAGTAAAAATATAAAAGAGGTACTATGAATAGAGTAATGCTAGTTACAAGTACCCAGGCTATCAAAACTTAGTTTGCAAAGAAAAAGTCTTGGAAATGGCGTTTTGGTTCAAAAATAAAGTAACAAAGCAGCCCACTTCTTGGCTTTTCCATACGCATGATGCACTCAAGAACATTATCTCTGTACCTACAATAACAGCACTCTGTTCATTGGTATCGACGCACATTTTCTCCTCCTTAACACTGACAGGCATCCGTGAGCTCTACGTGGATCGTTGTCGTACGTCTGACAGTTTTCAGACTGTTGCTAAAGATTACCATATTCACTCGAATATTATGAGTTCGCTAGTATTCTCAAAGCAACTTTATAGCCAGCTGATTCTCAATAAACTACAGCGTATGTTACTTTGTGTACAAAAAAAAGTTCTTCCCAAGTAGCTATTGCAATATGTTCTCGAAGTTGTGCTAGCCTTGTCAAATATTGAGTAAGGTACCTGATCGCCAAAAAAAGACTGTATGCTTGGACAAGTCATTAGACTGAACGGATTTCCGCTTTAGTACTCTAAAAAAACTAAAATCCCTAGTGTTGCCCGCAAACACATAATAAATGTGTGAAGCCAGCCAAAATGGAACACTTTCCGCAAAAATTTTGACCTCTCGCATTTTTAACGCGCAGCCTAATTCATGGCGGTGGAGGTCATTTTACTTCAACCACATGTGAATGAGACCTTCATGGCTTGAAATCAAGAGAGTTTTTAGATATAGGACACTTCAGAATATATGAGAATGGCCAAATCCATGCATGCCTAGAAATTACTTTAGGTATAATTCGAGGCAAAATACTCTTTTACGTTGTGATAATTATGAAACCCATAATAACAAGTCCTAGTAGTGATACAATAATTATGAAGTCTAGTTGGAATTCACATGAAAAAATATATCTTGCTGCACTTTTTAATATTTCAGCTACAATAGCCTTCCAGACCCGTCCGGTAAGTGAATGTATTTGGTATGCTCTACTTGAACTCTGAATTGTCTAGGTTATTTATGAAGAATCGCATTAGCGTAGGTTCTTTGTTTGAATACTGTAATCAAAACAAGCATTAACAACAAAAAAGGCCCATACCCTTCGTTGTCTACCTGAGGACATTTCACACAGGAAAAGGGAATTACTTTATTGTTGAACTGAATTTTTACAACACCTCTTGGTGCACCCCAATATTTTGGCTACAAACTTCTTGAAAATAGATGCAAACACTAGGTGATTTAGAGTTTCTGCAGCGAAATCAGGACGTTGCAATGACGGTGAACGGGGTCAAAAAACTATTCTCATGCTAAAAAGCACATGCTTCCTATGTCAGTCTAACAATTAACAAGTAGCAACTTTAATAAAATGAAAGTGCGAGTGATTAAAAGTGCGATTAGATTGCAAAATTTGATCCACAGTTTGGAGATCTAAAGATCACTGTTGCAATATCACTAATATTTCGAAATCAGTTATGTTTCATCGTGCCATTTTTTCTATATTTACCGTCAACGGAACGTTTGACACGTAACCAATTCCTTGCGCAAATTACGTGCGAATGTTTCCGAACGTCTCCCAATTAAATTCAATTATCTTACGACTTTAGAAAAAAGCGCGCCAATGTATTTATTTGTGGAAATAATCCAGTCATCAGCAATAAGGAACTAAACACCAAAGAAACCCACAACAATGACAGCGAAAATTACCGCTCATAAGCTAACTTGAATACGGAAAACTATGTATTTGAATAGCATTGCACTTGGAGTGTCGTTCACTTTTGCTTTACAAGTTCCACAATCAAGCAGTTGCAGCCTTTCTGGCTTAGATAATTTTCTCTACTGCCTGGAACACGTAAAGTTTAGTAAAACGTCTGGTTTCTATGTCTCCTACGTCCCTGAAAAGCCGTAACTAATTCCAAGTCGTCCACAGGCTAGCAAACAAACTCGTTTGGTACAGTTACCCGAAGGCAGCAAGGACAACCATATAAACTACGCTTCAGATGGGAGTAGACCCACAACGACAAAGGCAAAAGTGATATCGATGACTGCTGTGTAACCTACAATGGTCGCTATGCACAAGCATGGAGAGACGCTGACCTTTATTTAATTATCATGCAAAGAGCCTGCAAGTTAGCTGAAAAAATATGACCTGGTTGCTTAGTTCAACAACGTTGACTGCGACGCGAAGCTTTACCACGGTCCATTTTTACCTGCAACGTCCTACAATAACTTGGCTCTGATAGTTGCATTGGGTAATACATCGGCAGTTCATCAACACATAGCCCTTGAAATTTAACTCCGGTGCGTAATGATCTAAACCATCGCGCGAGAAGAGATGCGACAGGTGACACCGTGTGCGCAGCCTTGACTGGCATTGATTACTAATGTTTTGGGCCAGGAAATCCAGGAGTTAGTGGGACTTCATCAGTCAACACAGCCTTAAACGCCAGCTTTCAGCCACACTTCTACTAGTTATCGTCATGGTTCACAAGCGATACCACAGATCATTGCACAGCAGCAGGAAAGTCACAGAAACACTTAAGTAACGCATATACTCCTGTTTCGGGAAAGGTCCGACCTTTGTTGAATAAGTCCGACCTATGTCGAACCTATAAAGACCGACCTACAAAGGCCGACCTACATAAGTCCGACCAGTGTTGAACCACCTACAAAGGCATCACGACAATACCACACCTGCACCAACTCGCCGGCGACGCCTGCTTTTATCGTAGAATTATCATTTGAAGAAAATTTATTGCTGCAGAGTAGTTCTCAGTGAGACAAAGAACAGCTGTTTTGTACAAATTTTATGCATTTGGGCTGGCATGTTCACCGAAATCACCTAAATTAGCCAGCACTAACTTCAGGAAGTCTCACTACAACACAAGACATGCGGTGTGGAGCGCTACATCGGTACCTTTAACGGGCAAGACGCTGGTTCACTTACCACAATTGGTTAGAAGGCGCTCCTCTCTTTAATTCGCAGAGGAAATCGCGACCAGATTAAGTTGAGCTATCGCACAAGCACATGCAGGAGCCAGAGTTATGCGCGACGAGCTGATGCTGCTGCCACTGGCATACCGACCTCTCTGGAGGCATACTTTTTTCGTTCTCCCTCTCACGCAGCCGAGTAAATAAAGTTCTTGTACGTGACAGTTCTAGCCAATAATTTTTTTTGCCTTGCGACAGTGTATATAAGCGTGAAATCTTGAAATTCCTGATTATATTGTGTCACAAGCGGTCACGTGATGCCAAGATTTTCACAAAATAACAAGCTTGTATGCTGTTGGGCGTTGAACACTTAAGCAGTGAGGAAAACAAAGCAAAGGAAGTTTAGAAAACACAAAGAGGCACGAAAAGTTAGCCGGTACAGGTAATAATGGTCAGTGGTAATGCGCGATAATGGTGGAGATAAATCAAAGGCGAGCTACCACTTAGCACAAGAATTTAACCACAGCTGATCTGAATGAAAGCACAAAACTATCAAACCTTGGTTTTTGGAGACCTTCATCACGATTAAGCGCGAGCAATAGACCTCTAAAGTGGTCTCATGCAGCTTAGCCACCACATTTATGTGTATACATCAAAAACTTGTGTGCGCATATATAAATATTCAAGTCCGATACTGAACCTCTCGCTTCAATCTTGACTATTCTATCATCATTTGATGACCCACGCTCATGTGCGCGCACCTGTTTCACTCCTTTAAAATACAAGTGAAATACAGCATTGACTGTAAGCTTCCTGCTCACATTGGATATTGTAATAAAACATTCCAGACGCCACCCCAAAGAAGTTTCAACTGTGTCGGCGTCTTCTCAAAAATGTTTCTGCTCTTTTTGCGACCACATGTCAATCAACTCACCCATCTTGAACACTTGTGACAAACGCTTCCGTTATTACTGAATCCCGGACGTTGGCTAGCACAACATCGCTGGCTAGCAGAACCAGTTGGCCAATGAATCGTCCTATAGTAATATGCGGTATAAAAGATAAAGAAAATTTCTGTCACGAATATGGGCTTCGAGCGTTTTAAAAATAACATTCTCGATAATCTTCCAAGATGATTGCTCAGTGCATCACTAGAAAATCTGCAACAAAAAGATGACGACCACAGGTGGAAAAGTCCACACATTATTCATTGCTATTGTATGGTAACACGTACCACGTCACCCCAGGCTCCACCGTAACATTGTGGCCTCGACGTTGCGCTCTTAAATCGGTAGGGAGAAGCCATCAAGTGCGCCGAACTGAATGAGGTCGCGTGATTAGGTAGAGTGGCAGTCTCCAAAATATTTTTTTTCTACGATTGACTTCACTGAGGCCGCGCACTCTATTAGACACAAGTGAGTCATTGTAGAAGTGTTCTCTAGTGTGCTGGTTTGAATAGAATTATTACAGGAACCAGACAGCACTCACAATTGCGGCACGAACAGATCTGGACACACAATCGAGGGCAGAATATTGCATTTCTAGTAACATTTACACCACTTAAAAAAGACAGGTGAGGAGAACACATGGGAAAGGGTGAACCTCCATGTCACTCTAGACTCTGTGGTTTTGTTACTGGATAACATTCTGTTTCACTTGATTTTTCTTTCTTGTATCACTCTCCCTTAATGTTTTCTGTGATGCGAATTTTCTCTTTGAAGAAATCCAACTTTCACTCCACGCTTGCCTACCGCTACGTCGGCGTTTCGTTTTTTTAATGATGTAAATTTTCTACAATGGGTGCGATTTTCCGGTGAACACATTCCGCGGCTTTCTGCAGTCATGTGCAAATCTAAGACATCTGCTTATTGTTCCTATGCATACTCATGCCGGAAAACTAGTAATTGCTCCGTCGCATCACAGAACAACCGGCCGCAGTGTTTCTATGTGCACCGAATCTCATATTGTGTGAGGGACATGATGCTATTGGCACTGTGATCATGAATAGAACAAAATGTTGACCAAACAAGAAATCAAAGAAAACATAAATACACCTGTGACCGCCCCCATGCGTGGATATTTCCTAGATTTTATTAGGGCCCATTCAATCCAGTCCATGCGAGCAAGCCTGTAAAATGCGACTGAGCCAAGCCGGCCCCAATCTTTTCTCAAAGTCAATATCATCATTGTCAGTGACACTCCAGCTTACACATGGCCCTGGCAAAGTTATGGGAGGAGGTAGCGGCGGTAAAAGCTCAAGCTCATTGATCAGAGCCCTCGACGAATGGTTCCGGGCTCTGATTCTGGGACCACGATGTTTGAATGAAGCCCAGATAGTATGCAGGACTCTGGCCATTTTACATCACTAATTCTCGTCCCTATTAAACAGCTGCCTCCTTCTCGCGACCTCCGTACCACTTGTGTTATGGCCTGCGCTCTCTTTCCACCACATTTCTAGCCAATATACTCACATTGGTTGATTCTGAATACTTGTTTTGAGGCGCAAGGGCAAGTATCTACCACAAGCGTGAGCCAAAAATGCGCAATGCTCATGCGTTCGTTAACAATTTCAGAACACGACGCTTACCTTTATCACCACTTTAAGGCCCTAACACTAAATTTCAGTGACCACTACAGCAATTTTGACTCCCAGCTAATTCTCATCGCAACTTATTTTTCTAGCTAACAATAGGCGTAAGAAACCCAAAGCAGCCTAAGGGAAGCACAGCCTAATTACAGCTGCCTTTCATGAATCTCAGTTTGGCTGTACAGCTCCACTTCTTATCGACTGTCGTTGTGACAACTCAGAACCACTGGTAGTTAGTAGTCAAAAGACTAAAGATTCAGCGTATTTCTTACAACCAATTCATTTCTTGCCCTGTGAGACTAAACCTTCTTGTTTAAAAAAAAAACCCTCCAACCGACTCATGCTCCTACTCTTGCGGGCCAATTAAGTAACATCAAACCACGCCACGTATAACACAATTAGAACTGCACTGTGACGCTGCGACGCCCGACTCTTCAAACAGATAGTCCA